AGAAGAGAGTCCAGCCTCTCTCAAGGAGCTGGGTTCCAGAGCCCTGGCTGTGCGTAGAAGTGAGCCCAACTATTTCTAGCTGGTATCGCTCCACCTCCCGCACAAGCTCGGGCTCCTTCCCCACCAGTGAGGTGACATTCCACGTCCCCAGAGCCAGTTTAAGTGCCCGCGGATCATGATCTGCATGATATGACAATGATTCTGTTCTCCTCATTAATAGGCAGCCAGACTGACCAAATTTAACATAGTTTGGTTAATTTGCAGAATAAAAGCGACATCTAGTGGTTGTATTATCTAGACTGGGCCTTGTTCTGTTCTGTTCATCTGAAAACCTAAATGACCAATTCATCATTTCCAGTGTATTTTAGATAATTTCTTTGGTTGTTTTGTTAAATAATGAAGCAGCAACAGTCAGACTCACATCTGGCTTCAGAACAATGGATTCTAGAAACCAACCTCACTGTTAAAACAGGCTTTGGTAGAGTCTGGGAATGAGTTAACTATTATTATCAACACGCATGGATGGAAAGATGTTAAACTCAAGTATTCAATAACAGGCAACTCAAAATTGGAATAAGTAATAAATATAATATTGAATAAAATATTTTATTGGTGATTTTATTAGAAGCAACATTTGATTTTCTATTTTTCCTCATAAAATAAAACATCAATAACTCTGGTAATTCAGGGAAGACTTCCCTCTGGATGTTTTATCCAGTTATTTAATTTCTGTATTTTTGCCAAAAGATGTTAAAATCAGAGTTTAAATTTATTCCAGTGACATGATCAGTGACATCATCACCAGGTGGGTGAGAGAAAATGACTAGTGAACATAGAAAGGGGCAAAGAGGGACACAGATATTAGACTAATCCACATAGAGTTGTCCACCGCTGCCTTGCAGCAAGTTGGTCCTGGGTTCAAATCCCAGTCTGGTCTCTTTCTACTCTGAGTTCTCCCTCTGCATGTCCAGCTTCTCTCAGTTCAAATAACATAATTGTTTAGTTGGTTCCTCCAAACTGTCCTCAGCTGTGATGCTGGTTTCCTGTCCTGCTGGTCTGGAACTGAATGGTGTAACTCCCTGGAAGGACGACCAACACCTGGACTGATTTCAATCTGTTAAAGACTCATCTTTATTTTTGACTCCATTTTAGCTGAAAAATCAGGCTGATATTATAAAGTTCATTATCTCATGCTTCCATTGGTTTAATTGCTTGTCTTTTAGATGTTTTTATTACAAATGATTTATTTTGTAGCTCCTGTTATGTTTATTCATTTTTTCTGAGTAATGAAATGTAATGAATTGGTTCAAAAGTACTATTCAGATCTTTACTAATGTAAGGAGTGTAAAGGATATNGTGTGTGTTTCCAGATTTCTTCTCTAAACAGACTCATGTGTTCCTCGATAGATCTCAGATATGATGCATCAACTTGTACTGCCAGAGGAATAACCAGCAGCACAGCATGTGGTCCTGGAGGACAGAGATTCACACTGTTCTCTATTTCCAGTTTGTCCATCTCACTGGTGTCCTGAAGGGTGTGGATGTAGAACCATCCATGAGAATCCACCACTGTGAGCCGCCTTCCTTCAAACACACTGTGGTTTATTTCACTACATGTCGTCTTTCTTCCAACACTTTTATTAACACCAAATGCATTTTTTCCTAGAATGATGTTTCCTGCTGAGCTCTTTCCAGCACCTGAATCACCAATCATCAATATTCTCAAATTGTTTGGAGGAACTTTTCCACCTAGATCAAGAAAACAAACAAATAATTCATTATTTAAAAGTTTGCAGCTCAGGTCTGTTTAGAGTAGAGTTGATAATGTGGAACATTTGTAAAAAAAAAAGAAAAAGAAAACTGCTAGATTATTTGAGTTTGAATTGGAAAATAAATTAACTATATGAATCTGTGGATTTAGATGGGTTTTTTTTATTATACCAACAAAAAACATTTTCCGAACATGATAATGAAATTGTGTTTTTATGTCTAGCTCCCAGAGACAGAGTCTGCAGAAACATTTATCACTTTATCCTTATAGAGTGATCGAAAGCAGAATTACCTTTAATCCATAGTTTCAGGTTTCTTCTTTGTTTCAGAACTCCATCAAACTTTTTTGGGGCTATTTTAACCAAATCTTTCAGTCTCTCTCTCAGAGCATTTCCATCAGATTCATCAACAGAACAGTGTCTGCCCCTGTTCTGTTCAATCATCACCTCGATTTTCTCTAGAAGCATCTTGACTTGAACTCTATCTTCTCTGTTGCTGATGTTGAGAACATGTTTTCTGTTTCCACATTGTTGAAGGATCCACTGCAGGACTGGGCTTCTTCTGATTTTAGATTGAAGGGCTTCATCACTACATGGATGGACTGCAGTGAACAGCACGATGGTGTGACTGAAAACATCTGCTTTGAAAAGTTCCAGGTGTTCCTCTAGAGATGGTTTGACAAGATTAAAGAAATCTGAACCAACAGGAATGACCAGAAGAAAGACATGAGGTCCTGGGGGACACAGATGGACACTATTCTGGATTTCTATCTGATCCAGCTTTGGGGTTTCTTCTCTTGGAAAATACCACCACCATCCTGGAGTATCAACCACTGTGAGTCGTCTGCCGAGTACTTCCTGCTGCCTCGCTTCACTCTGAGCTGTTCTTCTGCTGGTGTCAAAAACATTGTGACCCAGGATGATGTTTCCAGCTGAACTTTTACCGCTGGAATGGTCATCATATCTTCCTCCAATCAACACAATCCTCAGTTCTGTAGCAGGGCGGCTCAGTGCTGTTAAGAGAGGTAAGGCTTTGTTTTATCAGACAGTTTATAAACATCTACTTTAATTAGCCAATCAGAGAGCAGAATTTTTAGATTAACATTTCTATTAAAATGACAAAAACATTGTTACCATGACTGAAAACCTAAAATAAGGAAATCTAGAATAGCAGAAGGAGCCATTTTGTTTGACTCTATGTTCTGTTTAAAGTCAAAGTCTCTGAATTTAACATATTAATCCACTAAAATAAGAGTTTACTAGATTATAATCCAAACAGCATAAAGTTTGAGGGAAAGTTTTATAAAAAGATTTCTGACCTGAGTTGGAAATATCAGCTGAAGCGGCCATTTCATTAGCTTCACTCTATCGACTTTCTGCTTTAGAAACCAAACCTGTTTCTAAATGAAAGTAAATGGAGCAGAAGGAATGTTGTTTATGTTGAAGGTTGGATGATGAAGTTAAACAAGGTCAGAGATCGCCATCTGCTGGACAACTGCATTAACTACAGGTCTACTGAGGTTAAGAAGTAAAGACATTGAAGTTAAACTGCTGATGTTAGAAAAATAAAAGGAAATAAAACAGGAAAAAATAAAATAATCAAATCATAATTTAATTCTTCATTGATAGAAGAGACAAGCTACAGAAAATCAAATCCAGCTTCTCATCACAGCAGTTTATTTGTCTCAATGGTTCTGATCAAGTTTAAAGACAAAGACAACATCTAACATTATTCTGTCAGTGACCAAGTAACCATGTGGCTTTAGATGAATGCTGCTGGAATTAACTTCAAACTGAGCAAAGAAAGTTGAATTTGACCTACAGAGGTCTGCAGTTTTAGCAGAAAGCATTTAACCAGAATCTTCTATTTAGCAACAATAATCACAATTATCAGACTTTTCTTTTTCTTTAATCCAATGCTTATGGCCATAATGCTCTCTGCAAGCCTGTTCCTGTCCTGATCATAGAAGCTAAGCAGCGTCAGGCTTGGTGATTACATGGATGGGAGACCATCCTGGAATACCAGCTGCTACAAGCTTAACCTGAACTAATATCAAATAGCTTTAGTTCACATAGAGAGCAACACATTTATGGAACATGATCCCAAAAACAACAACAGAGAAGGTAAAAACAAAGAGGTTTAAATCACTATAGAAGGTTCTTTATTTGTAGAGAACATTTACAGAAAGCTATGAACTATATTTGTCAACAATGGGTGGTGAGGTTGCTCGAGGACCCAGATGCAGAGACGAGTGAAGCAGAGATGAGTTCTGAGAGGTTTAATAGCTGACCATAGATAGCAGAGGCAGAAATCCAGAAATTCAACTTAAAATATTAAACAAACCAAAACCATGTAGACATCAGGGGAAAAAAAACGAGCCTGAGGAGTCAGGGAGAGACAAGCAGAGTAGACAAATACAGTTATGAGAAGGAACCAGCACTGAGTGACTGCAGAGGTGGAGTATTTCTGGAGAACAAAATAAAGGATGGACTAACGAGCTGAATGAGGAGCAGGTGTGGGTGGAACTGGCAAGAGGGAATCCAAGGGGAAAGAAAACAATCACAAGGGGTTAACAGCGAGTAACTAAAGAATGCTAGAATATTATGGAAAATAAAAACAAAACAACTGATAACAGAAAACTGAAAACTCAGAGTCACAAC